GTGGATGGATGGATGGATGGATGGATGGATGGATGGATGGATGGATGGATGGGTGGATGGATGAATGGATGGGTGGGTGGATGAATGGATGGGTGGATGGATGGATGAATGGATGGGTGGATGGATGGATGGATGGATGGATCCCTGTGCAGCTGCGGAACATTTCCATGGCAGTAATTTGCATCTGTGGCCGTAATTTACTTCCTAGAGCAAGGAATACAAAGATTAAAAAATGTAAAGTTGTTCCTGTGGTTAATTAATTAAGAACCACATCATGAAGACTTGTAGGGGAGTGAAGGTGTAGCTCCACCATTCTTAACCGCGGCACTAGCCGGAGGTAAGTGGTTACCTTCACGGCCAGGCCGCTTTACCCCCAGGGAAAGAGACAGGAGGCTGGGTGGGCTCCAGAGCCGGTCTGGACGCTGTGGAGAAAAGAAAATCGTACCCCTGAATCGATCCCCAGGCGTCCAGCTCAAAACCCATCGCTATACCGATTGGGCTATTCCATCTCCAAAGAATAACGGAGTGAACAATGTTATTTTATATATTTCAGGATTACTGTCTTCAAGTAAGTGATGCTGTGCAGTTTGGTACATGTTTACAAACGCCCCCCCCCCAAACATTCGCTCAGACTCCCGTACTCTGGCCGTCCTTCCCACACGCTTACCCTTTTTACTCTCAGTTTACTCCTGAAGGTGGATGTAGCACCTTGCTCCGAAACATCGGCAACTTATATTAGACTATAAGACTATACATCCCAGAAGACAGTAAGTCATCAAGATATATTCTACTTACAAACAAAACCTGTATAGCTACTCGTATACATCTGATGATATTCCACTGTCATTAAGCGGGTAAAGTAACAGATACAGATCGGCGCGTATGGCTGAAAACCTCAGCGCCTTCTGTGAGCCGATTGTCTAGAAAATGTGGGAGCCTCGACGTCTCACAACATATGCTTCCACGGCCTGTTACTGGGATAGCTCTACCTTATAAGCCTAACTATGGTTGATGAATCGGAAAAAAATATATAATCTGTCGCCGTTAGTTATACTGCACCGTCTCACACTTACACCGCATCTCCTACGTAAGTCTGCACAAAGCCCCCGATCACACAGTACCTGGTCCTCATGTCTTCAGACTGTGTTGTCCTTCCTCCTTGCCACGCGAAAACTTTAAAGGTGACTTTATTACGAAGGGGGTGTGAAGATGTAACTAGTCTTGTGACTGAAATAATATATTTACTAGAAAGAAAGTGCTTTTCTTCGTTTCCGTATTTCACCGTCTAACAAATGAAAAAGTCACTCTCTAGATCAATGTTTTCAGCAACTGATGTACTTAGCTTCGTGAGGATAACTGAGGAGCTATTTCAAGGAAATAACGGCTCCGGTCTAGAAAACAGAGATTAACGGCCATGAGGATTCGTTGCGATGACCACGCGACACCCTCTATCCTCTAAATTTGACACTAACTTCGCCGACAAGCGGCGGTCGCTCGGTCGGTATAGTTCGCTTGCACA